TTAACAATTATTCCAACGAGAGAATATATATACAATATATATATAACACAATAAATAATTTATATATTTAAAGTACGGCGTGCGTAAATTGATGCAAATAATTAAATACCAATTCCGTACCGTCAATTATTTATTACTAACATCTTATAAATTACTCTTTCCTGTAATTAATATTATCGAAGGATGTAATCCGTATAATAAAGTCTTATTATCATTACTATTATAATGTAATATCGTACATTAACGTTTTCAAATTAAAGAAGATAGTCTAAAGTATATATTATAAAAATTTATGAAACGTTTCTCCAATTAAAGAAACCAAATATTTTATTCTTAAGAAAAATCCGATTGGGTCGTAATTGATCGATCAAAGACAGTCCATGTTTTTCCATTGAATCGACCCAATTGATGCCAATTTATGCAACCCTTTGATTCATGATTGCACATTTATATTTCCATTCACGATTTACGTATTTATCGGTATCGTTTTCTCCATGGAATTGGTTCAATTTATTACGAAACAGTTGTGGTTGGAATATGATGGCGGCGAGTGAAAAAGCACTCCTCATTTCTTCTTCTTTCTCTCTCTCTCTCTCTCTTCTTCTTTCTTTCTTTCTTTCTCCATCTCTCTCACTTATTTTAACTCGAGACCGTGCTCGATAGTCCTGGAAAACGGCTCGGCACTTTGCAACGGTAACGAGAAAAATTAGGTCAACGAGATTACGTTCTTTTCCGTCGCGACGTCTCCCTTCTGTAATAACCCTCGCTTTAACTACCATACCACATGCACACACACACATACATATATATATATACACCACCCTCACATAGTAATACAGTACTTAGATGGATAAGCGTTTATCCGTTTCTCCTTTAGTCGATTTCTTTTCACTCGAGTCGAATGTATTTGTATAGACAGTAATATAATACGACAGTAGTTTTTTATTTTTTTATTGTTCATATTTGCACTTGTAAAGAAAATCCTGTTAGCTGAAATAATTAACGCGAAATCGTGTTTCTCAACATCGATAGCATAATATCGCACGGTGGGCAAGGGCGAGGTGGGGGGTTCTTAATCGACCGTGGTTTTACGAGTGTCCTCGAAAGAAAACTGAGTGAGAAAGAGAGAGAGAGAGAGAGTGATTATGTATTTACATATACGTTCGTTCAAAAGGTAAAAACGGATGATCGATGTAAAAATTCAGTAGAAAAATAGAGAGTAATAAAATAGAGAAAGAGAGAGAATTCAAGAAAGAAAGAAAGAGATGAAAATAGGAGAAAAAGAAAAAGCGAAAAAGCACACATGCACACACACATATACACATATAAAGCGGTTGAAAGAACAACGCGAACGTTTTTCTTAAGTTTGCGTTAAAATGAATGAAAGAAAAAGAGAGAAAAAAACAAAACAAGAAAAAATGCTAGCTCGTGGTTTTCGAAGCTCCTTATAAGCAGAAAGTACGGGTTAAACGTACTTTCGTACGCACCATCCAACTTTCCCTGACAATGTTGAGTCGGGGTTGTACGCGTGAAAACGCGAGTGTGGCTAACAACGTTCTTACTTTAGTACGTGTTAGTTCTCTCTCTTTCTCTCTCTCTCTCTCTCTCTCTCTCTCTCTCTCTTTTCTGTGTGTAAGCGGAGAACGGAGTTTTCTGGGAGAGTGCTTTAAAACGAACGTTGGAAAGTCCTCAATAACAAGTACTCCGGCACAGATTTCCTACCTTCCTACCTACCTACCTACCTACCTACCAACCTCTCCCACAATTTTCAATTCGACCCTACCGTAACTGGACGTAACAGCCGCCATTTTAACGCCATTAGAACCTTTCACTTTTTCATTCTCGTTCTCCTATTTCTATCTCTTTATCTCTTGTTTTTTTTAATCCTTTTATCCGTATTTATCTATCTATTTATGTATCTCTATCTTTCGGTTTTTTTCTTTTTCTTATATTTATTTTTTCATTTATCTTTTTCTTTTGTTTCGTTGTTATATTATCATTTACAAAAATCCTGATACAATTTCGTCATCTAAATTTCCATTCACGTTGAAACACTTTGTGATGCATTTATTGATTGTTCAATTTGATAACGTATGTTTGCAACGTTTGTTAAATAGTTCACTTATATCAAAAGTTACTTGCATATAGTGTCAGAAATACTTAACAAAAAATCGATAATTTTGAGGAAAACTAAAACTGTTCCGGGTTTCGTTAAACGTATTATATATTATGATTTATTTATTAATCTCTAAGTTTTATACATAGAAGTAATTATGTAATATTGTTTGGCATCGGCAAATTGGTATTAAAAAATATTTGCATCGATCTAAACAGAAATGTGGTACGTTTTCCAGATATTAATATCACAGAAACAGAGAATAATAAATAATGTGAAGTGAAATTAAAACTGATGCAGATTTAAGAAAACCTAAAAAAAAAATATCGATTAATACATCGTAGTATTTTTAAACACATGTGTATAATAGCTTAAAGATGAATC